TTTCATCTGGTTTGTTAAAGATAATTTGTTCTGAAAGGATATCATGCTCCTCTTCCTCTTCTTGGGCTGGAACCTCTATCACTTCTTCCTCAACAAGCATGCTGCCATCGGAAACATGGGTAGTCTCGCTGCCCTTGGCTTGAAAAACCAAAGGAAGTGTGAGAACCAGACAAGAGAGATTAATAGAGATGCTGCCAATCTGCAGAACATCCATGTCCTCAAGAAGATTATCATCGCTAGTCAACTCTGCTTGTTGATCTGCTTCAAAGGTTGCCTTCAACTCATTTTCATTAACGATCAATGAGGTGAGCTTAGGAGGTGGCACCTTCGGCTGAGATTCATTCTGGACAGCAACCTCTTGACTTTCTTTTCTCTTCCACACCATCTTTCCCTTTGCGAGAGAACGTTGTGGAACCTTAACTTCCTCAGTAGCTAACTGTTGACGACGACGTGCCTCTGCTCGCTTTCGCTGCAACCTTCTTCTCAAAGTTCTAAGATTTCTCACAGGTTCTTTTGGAAACTTGGGATGCACGACCTCTCCCACCTTTTACTTGGAGGTCGGTGTGGAGGCTTAACCATACGAGAGTGATCTGTATGTCGAGCCTCCTTCATCCTGGATTTGGATGCATAGATTCTAGCAGCATGGTGTTGCCCCCCGAGCCTCTGATTCTGTTGGGCACAACGCTCCCTTTCCTTCTCAATCACCCAGCGAAGCTCATCTGCAGCCAAAGTTCGCCCTCTATACGTCCTTCGAGAAATGCTCCTTATGTCAGCAACATTAACTCCAACATCGACATTCGGAAAAGGATTGTCATCAACCCCCATGGCTTCCTTGGGTTTTTCAGGGAAACGAAGCAACCCTTTGTCAATCTTGTCCTGCAACACATTCCGAAAAATAACACAGTCATTAGTAGAGTGTTTCCAAGAGTTATGAAACTTACAGTAATCTTTGGATGCAATTTCAGCAACCATCGGGAGCCTATGCCCCTGCGGCAGCTTAATATGTCCTGACTTTTTCAAATAATCAAATATTTCATTTGCTTTAGTCACATCAAATGTATATTGTCTCCCAGATTCATATGAGAGACGCTTTGCAGCCGCCTCAACTTGTTGGGTGACTTTCACTAGATTAGGACAAGTTACTGGCTTGTCTGCAAAGACCTCGGCAACATCAAGGTCAAAAGCATCCTGATAATAAGTTCCTTGCGACGCTGCCTTTCTTGGGGATTCCTCTCTTAAAAGGTTTTCATAACGTGCCACCTTATAAGAGAGCTCAAAGAAGTCTCTAAATTCCATCCCCTCAAACTTCTTTCGAAGTTCAATGTCTAAACCATTCTGAGCAAGCTTCACGAACTCTTGCTCTAGTAAGGCAACATGACACTTCATCCGGGCTTTTCTAAACCACATAAGATAATTTTCAGAAGATTCCCCTGGCCGTTGAGTTAGTCTAGAAAGATCAGCCATGGATATCTCAGGCTCTGAGCGGTAGAATTGAATACGAAACAAATCTTCCATTTGTCTCCAGGGAAATACAGAATTTTGCGGCAGACTTAAGTACCATGTCAGTGCAGTACCAGTTAAAGAACTTGGGAAGAGTCTCAACTTCAAAAAATCATCACCCGATGCCTCCCCACATTGAATAGTGAACCTACCAATGTGTTCAATGGTTGACTGGCTTGCGTCCCCAGAAAACAAAGTAAATTCAGGCACTTTGAATCCACGAGGAAATGGATTATCCCGATCTATGTAATCTGGATACGGCTTGTGATAGGAAGGACGAACCAATGGTCTCAGAGCTGGACCATATGTCTCCTAGACTAGATCAATCAGTTGATTTCTGTCCAAGGGAGGAGCTGCTGCTTGTAGCCCTAGTGGTTGAAAAACATTATTCTGCAAATTGGGCTGTGGGACAGCATTTGGACGCCGTGCAGGGGGTACATATATTTGTTGATTGGCGTTGAACTGCTCAGCTGCACGGAATGCTGCTTCCACAGGATCTTGTGGTCCAAGGATGCCACCAGCAGGATTGTTTTGCTGCTGCCTATTGAACTGCATCTAGCCAGCAACAAGAGCATTATTTTGAGCATTGGGCATTTGCTGCACCACCTGTGGCTGATTAATATGCCCCCCGTGCCCCCCGAGCAAAGGATCTGGAAGATTTTGCTGTGACAATTCCATTGCTGGAGGTACGGGTTGCCTTGGAACATTTTGCTGCTGTCGAACATGTTCCATGGTTCTCTCAGAAACTGCAGTGAAGGTTTTGCGACTTTCTGCTACATCTTCTCGGATGGCTCGAGAACTTTCATTAATGGCCCTTTCAATAACATTCAAAGATTGAGTGAAATGATCTGAATGTTTTCGTTGGGCTTGTAGAAAGCTTTGTAGACTACGCTCCATGTTCTGATTGGCTTCTTCTTGTAGCTTCCTTATCTGCTGAAGTTCTTGAGATATTTTATTGCTTGACTCAGCAGAATCAACTTTCTCCTCATCATCATTGCGATATATGGGATTGCCATATGATCGATCTGCCAAGGGAGAAATAGGTGGAAGATGCTCTGGACTATTTTCACCTTCAGAATGTCTTGGACTCACGGGAGCCACTTCCACTTGTTGTGCAACTTCTTTTCCAACTCTCCTCGGCATGGCTATGGCTGCTTTATGCCCAGGAAAAGCAAAGAGTGGATCAAAAAACTTTTCTTGATAGACGATCGCCAGCAGAAGGTCCCACTGGGTGTGCCAAAAAGAGATTGTTATCCCAAAAAATCTCCTTGACACGTGGCAGATGAAATGGCGTGCCACTTGCTTTGCTCAAAACAAGAAAGATTTCTCCGACGACCCTCTCTTCTTTCCAAGCGTGGAAC